TCTCTCTCTCTCTCTCTCTCTCTCTCTCTCTCTCTCTCTCTCTCTCTCTCTATCTCTCTCTAAAAGGTAACATTTGCACCAAACGTTGCTTTATCTCTAAAATATTTACATTGTTTCATCTTTACTATGTTTACGTTATATTGTTTCCTCTTCCACATATCTATTTACGTCAAACATCGTTTCATCTCTCATCTTTTAAACATCATAAACTGCTTCCTCTCCCATCTGTTTTCGTTATACATTTTTTTCATAACTACGATATTTACGTCATACAATGTTTCATCTCTGCCATGTTTTTAACCCTATCCGTACGCCCTGGGGTTATTTTGTACCCCCGGGGTTGTATTCTTCACATTTTAGAATGCTTGTAGTACGAAGATCTCTTTGAAACTTTCAGTATTTCTCAAGTAATCATTTTGACAGACTGCTATGCAAAGCGTACGGATTGGATTATGGAATAAATTTCCTCTTTGGAAAGTGGTGGCACAGAGTTCCCCTTGTCGTATGGATACGATAATAAAACAAGACGTACGGATAGGGTTTTCAGCCATACATTGCTTCATCTCCCATAATATTTTTAATGTCATACGTTGCTTTGTCATACATTTCTTCATTTACACCATGTTTACGTCATAAACCGCTTCATCTCCCATAGGTTTACATCATAAACTGCTTTATCTCCCGTCTGTTTACGTCATAAACAGCTTTATCTCCTATCTGTTTACGTCATAAACCGCTTTATCTCCTATCTGTTTACGTCATAAACCGCTTTATCTCCTCTCTGTTTACGTCATAAACCGCTTTATCTCCCATCTGATTACGTCATAAACGGCTTCATGTACCACATCTTTACTTCATACATCGCTTCATCTACAGTATGTTTACGACGTCATAATTGCTTCACCTGCACCATGCTTACGTCATAAACTGCTCCTTGTGGGTAGTTGGCGGGTGCTCTGGTGTGGTTTGCTTCTTCTTTCCTATCAAACATCTATCGTATTTATCTCCCCTCCTTTTTTTGTGTGTTTGTTACTCTCTTGTAACACCTCTAATCTTCGGCACTTATATGACCTCATTGTGTTGCAAGTGTCGTAAAACACTTACTAAAACTAAAACTGAACTGCTCGGCTATCACCCCCATATTGCTTACCCAAACACTTCCTGCTCGCCATTCACCTCCTTGCCCCTCTCCTCCCCTCCCCCTCCCCCACCATGTTTACCCATACACCTCCTGCTGGCGATTCACCTCCCTGCCCCTTCCCTCCCCTCCCCTCCTCCCCCTCCCCTCCCCCTCCCTCCCCTACCCCCGCCCACAGCGCTATCCTGTACTTCCACGGCCACTCGCTGACCAAGGACAATTGGCACGAGACCCTGAGCCTGTTGGACAACGTCTGCCTGGTCTTCTTCACCGTGGAGTTCCTGGCCGCCCTGGTCACCTGTCCCAATAAGCGCACCTTTTTCCGCTCCACCCTGGTCATTCTGGACATCCTGGCCCTGATGCCCGATCTGCTGGACAGATGCATCAAACTGGACGCGTCCTTCTACGCCGAGATCATATCCAACGAGTCCAGCGAGGTGCTGGCTTTTGAGGGGTTGGGGTTGGGGTGGTTTGGAAGGGGGGTGGG